GTTCAAGCGATTCCCCTGCCTCAGCCTCCTGAGTAGCTGGGACTACAGGCATGTGCCACCACGCCTGGCTAATTGTTTTTGTATTTTAGTAGAGATAGGGTTTCACCCTGTTGGCCAGGACGGTCTTGATCTCTTGACCTTGTGATTTGCATGCCTCGGCCTCCTAAAGTGCTGGGATTACAGGCATGAGCCACCGTGCCTGGCCTGTTGCCTGCCTTTTTAAGATCTTACCCAAAGAAATCTTTGCCCAGGCCAGTGTCTTAGAGCATTTCCCCAGTGCTTTCTTCTGATAGTCTCATAGTCTCAGGTCTCATGCCTAAATTAAGCCTTTAATTCATTTTGAGTTGATTTTTGTATAATGTGAGAGATGGGGATTCTAGTTTCATTCTTTTGCATATGATTATTGAGTTTTCCCATCACCATTTATTAAAGAAACTGTCCTTTTCCCAACGTATGTTTTTGGTGCTTTTGTGTAAAATGAGTTGGCTATGTGTGGATTTCTGGGTTCTCTATTTTGCATTAACTCTTAATACTGAGAATAACTTTATGAGATTGGAAATCATTATCACCTCCATTTTACAGCTGAAAAAACTGAGGCACAAAGAGATTCAGTTACTTGCCCAAGGTTACAGGGCTAGTAAGTAGCAGAGTTAAAATGGAGAACAAGGCAGTGTAGGTCTAGGAGTCCATGCTGTGAACTCCTTCATTATCAACCAACTCTGGAAGTGTGTAAGAGGAAAACAAACATTATTCTACTTATTTTTCCTAACTTTGATATTATGTATGTGTAATGTTAAGGATGTAGAAATAGGAAGCTTTTACTTTTAAAGTGACAGAAAATTATTGCTCTTAATGTCAAATACAAATGTATTAAATATTTCTTCTTCAAAATAGTAGAGAATATTTGAAGAACTACTTTGAAATATGGAAAACTTATTATATTAATTCCTCTTGAAGTTTACTTTGGAATGATTTAACAATATATAGTGTGAAAAGGAGATCATTTTCAGGGGAGCTTAATACATTTACCCTTTACTTTAAAGATGATCTCAAGCTTTTTAGATCAGCAAGCCATCCTGTTTGTGGACACTGCTGATCGCCTGGCTTCGTTAGCTAGAGATGCTCTGGTCCATGCACGCCTGCCTAGTTTTGCCATCCCGTATGCCATTGATGTACTGACTACTGGATCTTACCCACGGCTGCCAACCTGCATTAGGGTAAGTGCTTTGCCATGTTCCTAAAGACTAAAGGTTTTAGCATTGGATTGTATTGTATAATAATACAATCCAATTAAGTAGCCCAGCAAAAACCATATTGTTAAAACAAACAGTACATATAGTTCACTTTTTTCTCTATAACTAAAATTGTGGTTTTTAAAAATAAGTTGGGACCAGAATGTGAGTAGATATAAAAATGGGTGAAGGTTTTATTTTTTTCCCCAGGGGTGAGCGGTTGTACAAACATAGCAACATCTATTTCAGTTGTGAAAATGCTACATGCTAGTTGCTTTTTGAAAGTGTTTTAAACATTGTTTTGGTAGTTTACTGACTTGGTGCCACATTGTATTTTATACTTGTTAAGAACTTGTGGAAGTTATCAAGTGATATTACGTTGGTTCATAAATAGAGCATAAAGGAGGTTATGTTGTATTATGATCTCAGATAAATGACTGGAATCATTGTTGCTCTAATGTATGATAGTAATGGCCATTGTTATTGGATGTAGACTGCAGAAATGAGTGTTGAGATTCTCTTGGGTAAAGTATGAAAATACTATATAAAGACAGACAAAGGTAAAAAAAAAATTATCCCTTTTTGTACATTATTTAAAAATCACTTAAATTTTTTTTCAGGATAAAATTATTCCTCCAGACCCAATTACCAAAATTGAAAAACAAGCCACACTCCATCAGCTGAATCAGATTCTTAGACATCGGCTTGTAACCACAGATCTTCCTCCTCAGTTAGCAAATCTTACAGTTGGTATGTACATGAATTTTCTTTTTTTAAGAGTTGATGGCCAGGTGTGGTGGCTCATGCCTGTAATCTCAGCACTTTGGGAGGCTGAGGCAGGCGGATCACTTGAGGTCAGGAGTTTGAGACCAGCCTGGCCAACATGGTGAAACTCTGTCTCTACTAAAAATACAAAAATTAGCCAGGTGTGGTGGCACACACCTGTAATCCCAGCTAATTGGGTGGCCGAGGCACGAGAATTGCTTGAACCTGGGAGGCAGAGGTTGCAGTGAGCCAAGCTTGCACCACTGTACTCCAGCCTAAGTGACAGAATTTACATGTTAGAATATTTTCTTAAACAGGTTTTTTAGTTTTATAGTTTTATTCAAATAAATAGCATTATGAAAATTCGACTCACAATTTTGTGGTGTTTGATTCTATAACTTGTCAGCCATGTCATTTCTCTTTACTACCTAGAAATACAGTGCTGGTATTTGCAGCTTGGGAGTGGGACTGGAAAGAGAGAAGAGTTCCCAGAGTTGAGCCTCAAGAAAATATTGTTCATTTATGTTAGAAGAGTTGCCTTTCATTTCTTGACCTGGAAGCTGGTTACTTCTTCTTAAGGAACCATTGAATTGTTTGAACACTTATGAAAGAACCTTCAATCTATTTAAAAATTTTTATAAGTAAGACTGAAAGTTCTAGGTCAAGAGGAAGATTCTCATTTTCTAGTGAAGTATACTTCCTTTTCTTCATCTTTTTCTTCTAAAAGCAAATGGCCGGGTGAAGTTTCGTGTTGAAGGAGAATTTGAAGCCACATTGACTGTGATGGGAGATGACCCCGATGTTCCATGGCGTCTTCTCAAGCTAGAAATTCTAGTTGAGGATAAGGAAACAGGAGGTAAATCATAAGTAGTGATTTAAATCATAAATGTTAATTTAAATGTTTGATATTTTTATATTATTGAAATATTCCTGGCTGGGAATGATGGCTCATGCTTGTAATCCCACCACTTTGGGAGGCTGAGGCAGGTGGATCACTTGAGCTCAGGAGTTTGAGACCAGCCTGGACAATATAGCAAGACTCCATCTCTACAAAAAATTTAAAAATTAGCTGGGCATGGTGGTGTGCTTCTGTAGTTCCAGCTACTTGGGAAGCTAAAGTGGGAGGTGGGAGGATCACCTGAGCCTAGGGAAGTTGAGGCTGCGGTGAGCCATGATCATGCCGCTGTACTCTAGCCTGGGTGACAGAGCAAGATCCTGTC